CTACGACGACGAAGACGACGACGACGACGACGCACACTCCAAGTATGATGGTCGAATATCGGACGCAGTGGACATCCTGCTGCAACATGAAACTGTCGAGCGGCCGAACTGTCGCTACCCGAAAGAAAAGGGACTGCGGAGTCGCTGGATCGCTGGACCGTCGGACAGCGAGGAGAGACCCACGTCCCAGGATACAAGTACAAGAAAGCAACCTGAAAGAAGTGGGAGTCCCACAGCTGGGCAGCAACACGATAGCGACCTCACAGTTGCCTTGTTTCGGGAAGTTTCAAGAACGAGCTGCTGGATGGAGGCGCCGCCCCGGAGCTCACCGAACATCCGGGATCTTCGTGACAAAAAGGCTCCGTCGGATAGACTGCCTCCAAAACCATCCTCGCATGGCCAAGCGACTACAAGCTGAGAGCTGTGCGATGATACGACAAAGTGACTTGGTGACTGAATCCGACACTGGATAAAGCAAAGTCGGTGACGGAGATCGTCGCTAGATAGATCGATGAGGTCGCCCCAAGTGAGTCGACGGCTGTATAGGAGACGTGACCCTACTGTTCACACCCCGTACTTTCACAAGTATTGGGGAGAGACACGTGGCACGGCCTCGAACTGCATAAGCTAGGGCCTTCGGTGTGTGGTTGGGTAGCTGCTGGTGAGCCTTCAGGAAGGGTTTCTCTTGTCCCGGTCTTCGCGTTTACGAGGCCCTAACGGATGGCAAACAATTCACAACTTGAGCGGTGCTCATGACGCAGTCCCAGGCCACCTATGTGGCCCTAACAGGAAGTAGCCGTGAGCAGATGCTGACCCTCAGTCAGTACGTTTGTGATTGATGATGTCGGGACCTTGTAAATACGCTACTGTACTGTTCAATTCGTAATTCAAGCAGAGTGTCCTTGCCATCCTCCTGAGGACTGACTGGCTTGTGTTGGAGTCTTGTTGGTTTGTTAGATTTCGTTGTTACTGTGTGTGTGTGTGTTATATCGGGTTTTCGTTCACGGTTGATGCTGGACTGTCAGAATAACCTCAACAGAAACCTTGCCTTTTCAACATCCCAAAACGCACAGATCGTGGTGGGAACAACAAAGCATGCCGCCAAAAAGCGACAAATGCGCCTTAGACTTTTAGGAGAACAGATGCGTGGGCTTGTGATCGTAACTGTTTGTTGGCGTTTTAATGTGTTGTTGTTTTATCTCTGCGGAGAATGCACACGCAACTGTTTTCTGAACCTCTTGTCAGTAGCCAAGACCCTGCAGAGCTGTCGACGACGTGCCAGGTACTGGTAGGTGACAACAACAACAACAACAACAACTACTACTACTACTACTACTACTACTACTCCTACTACTACTTCTACTTCTACTTCTACTTCTCCCCCCGCATCTAGCCTTTCGCACTTGACCTCGCAGGTAGTCAAGCCCCTGTGAGACTGTGGGACATTGCCCAGGACCATGACGTGATTGATCCAGAACCTGCAGTACCCGGACGGGACGCCTGAGCGCG